ACATTACCATTGAAATCTACCTGATGACTGTATCCATACACATGTGTATCTTACTCTTATTGTTAGAGATTTTGTAGATGAATTCAGTTTTTTGGGGGGGAGGTATAAACAGCCATACCATGTGCAAATAAGGGTCATTTTTATTGATTTCTTTCTGATCTGCATATTTAAAAAAATTTTTTTTTCCTCTTTCACAAGTTAAAGTTTCCAGTGTTATAGTGTTGTAAGAGTGAATAACCCCGTTTTCCACACCTGGCCCTGTACTGGTTTTAGAGACAAGATCCTCTTGTCTCTGCCTTCTGAGTACTGAGATTATAGATGTGTACCATCACGCCTTGCTGTACTGAAATTGTTTTAAAATATTTGTGTGTTTGTATCTGTGTGTGTGTGTGTGTGTGTGTGTGTGTGTGTATGCATATGTGTGTCCTTCCCCTTGGAGCTGGGGTTATAGACCTGTGTGGACTTCTAGCTTGTTACATGCATACTGGGATCCAAAATCCAGTTCTCATGGTTGCTCAGCAAATGCTCCTTAACCACTCTCTATCCCCTGAATTTTATGTGCATGCTGGGGATTGAGCCCAGGGCCCTGTACAGTCTAGGCAAGTGTTATTTCATTGAATCATACATCTAGCCCCATGTACTTCTGAATTTTATTTGTTGATATTTTGTTAGGATATTTATATCTACATTCATGAGGACTGTTGGCCTTCAGTTTTATCTTCTCTCCCTTTCCCTCTCCCCCTCCTTTTCCCTCTCTCCCTTCTCCCTCTCTCCCTCTTTTTGTACTGACTTTGTCTAATTTGGTGTCAGAATGGTTATAGCTTCATAAACTGAATTGAAAATACTATTTTTTGGAAAAGATTGTGTAGGATTAGTGTAATTTTCCCTAAAAATATTTGTTAGAATTCTCTAATGAAGCCACTTGTCCTGGAAGATAAATTTTTTTTAATAGTTTTAAAATTGTGCTTTAAAAAGCTGAGGATGTAGATCAGTGGGAGAGCACTTGCTTATTTTGTTAGCTCAGATCCCTAGCTCTGCTAAAAGAATTGTGTATTTAGTTTAACTAAAAAGTATAGGTCTTGGTCAGGTATGATGATATACACCTTTTAAAAATCACAGCACTCCTGAGGCAGAGGCAAGTGGGTCTTTTTAAGGGCACAGTGGTCCGCATATTGAGTTACGGGCCAGCTAGGGCTACATAGTGAGACCTCGTCTCTTTCATATGTATATCTATATGTATACACACACGTATATGTGTGTTGTGTTGCATGCCTTTTATTTCCTATTGGATGAGTTATGGTAGTTTGTGATTTTGATAATTGGCCCATTTCATTCAGTTTCCTTCTTAGCCTTCTGGCATCTGCAGGGTTTGTAGTGATAGCCTCTTTTCGTTCTTGTTACTCACCATTCATGTCTTTTCTTTGAGCTATAGATTTATCATTTTTATTGGTCTTATCACTGAAGTAATGCTTTTAAAATAGTTTTTTTTCTATTCTGTTTTCAATTTTTTAAAAAATTTTATTATTTTTAGTTTATGTGTATGAGTGTATTGCCTACATGTATGTGAGTGCACCCATGTCGTGCAATGCCTCAGAAGTCAGAAGAGGGCTTTGGATTCCCCTGAAACTGGAGTTAAGGACAGTTCGTAGCTGCCATGTGGGTGCTGGGAATTGAACCCAGGTCCTCTGCAAGAGCAGTCAGTGCTCCTAATTGCTGAGCCATCTCTCCAGCCCCTGTTTTCAATTTCATTGAGATTGGTTCTTTTTTCTTTTTTTCCTTTTGTATTTTTGAAGCAGGGTCTCCCTGTAGCCCCAGCTGACTATGTAGACCAGGCTGGCCTTGAACTCACCAAGATCCACCTGCCTCTGCCTCCCAAGTGCTGGGATTAAAGGCGTGCGCCACCACGCCTGGCTTAGAGATTGGTTCTTTTTTATTTCTTGCCTTCTGCTGGCTTTTATTTTTATTTTGTTCTTTTTCTATGTTCTTGTGTTGAAGGGTTAGCTTATCAATTTTAACTTTTCTAATGTATGTGTGTTGTGCTGTGAATTTTTTCTGTCATACTGCTTTGGCTGTATCCACAAATTTTGATATGGTTTATTTTTACTTAGTTCAGTTCATTTAAAATTTTTTCCTTGAGATGTCATCATTTTGTGTGCGTGTGTGTGTGTGTGTGTGTGTGTGTGTGTGTGTGTATGAGATACACATGCCATGGTGCATATGTGGAGGTCACAGAACAACTTGTGGGAGTCTGTGTTCTCCTTTCCACTAGGAATTGAATTTAGGATTTCAGGTTTAGCGGTAAGTGCCTTTATCCCTTGAGTTACCTTGCTGTTCCACCACCATGTTTTTTGAGACAGAATCTCTCACTGAGACCTGGAACTTGCTGATTAGGCTAGCCTGTCTGGACAGTGAGCCCCATAGATCCTCCTATCTCCTTCCTAGCTGTGGGATTATAAGTGCCAACCATGCCTGGCTTTTTATGTGGGTTTTAGGGATTAAAGATGGGTCCTTATGCTGTGTGGCAAGCAGTTTATAGACTGAAGTACCTCCCCAACTTTGAGACTTTGTTTTGGACTTGTGGATTAACTAGAAGTATATTGCTTAGGTTCTAAGTGTTTAAAGATTTTCCTGCTGTCTTTCTGTTACTGATTTCTAGTTTGATTCTTTTTGGTTAGGGAACATAATTTGTGTACTCTCAAGTCTTTTAAGTTTGTTAAGATTTGTTATGTAGCTGAGGTTGTGGTTTATTTTGGTAGATTTCTCTCTGCATTTTGAATGTATGATCTGCCACCATTGAGTGGAGGGTTCCAGAAATGTTGATTAGATACTTAATTGTTGGTGGTGTTGAGTTCTGTACTCTCAGGATTTTCTGTCTAGTCGTTCTACAAATTGCTAATAGTGTTAATAGGATTGAGATCTTTGACTATAGTGAAATATACTTACTTTTCCTTTCAGTTCTATAATTTTTTTTCTTCCTATTTGTAGTTAGCATAGACATTTAGGCTTGCTTTGTTTTTTCTGGTGGATTGGTCTTTATTATTATGTAATGAATCTTTTTTGTCTCTGATAATCTTTGCTCTGAATTCTGCTTATGATATAATATATAAACATGATTTTACTTAATTTTAATTAATTTAAATTTAGGCACAGTTGGCTGGTGGCTGTCATATTTCTGGAAGGTGGAGGGAACTATGACACAAATTTAATTAAAAGGTAAATTTTATAGTATGTTAATAGATGTTAAGGGCAATGAGTGGTTAACTGTAATGGGAAGATTGGAACAGAGGGAGTGGGATGTTTGACCTTCAGTTAGATAGTCAAGGAAGAAATTCTTGAATATGACACTTGAACAAAAACTTTAATGAGTGAGAATTAGCAGTGCAAATATCTTGGGGGAAAGACTATATCAAGTGTTCATAGGGAGGCAGGTCATTGTATAAACTTTAGCTTTTACTCTGAATGACATAGAAAAATCACTTGAGAGTTTTGAGCAATCAAATTGACTTTGGCTGCTATGTTGAAAATAGACTATAGGGAACAGTGGTGCAAGCATAGCAGCTAGTTAGACAGGAGGTTAGTTGAAAAGTGACAAAAGTCAGAGCAAATGGTTAGAGCAGATTTTGAGAAAAATATCAAGGCATTTGATTTCAGATATTTTAAGTTTGAAATGTTTATTAGACAAGTAGACTGTGGTTCTACTCCAGATACACAAGTACCTACCCTTGTGGAACTTACAATGTACTGAATTATGGATAACAAACACAATAAGTAAATAAACACAGCAAGTAAATAGTTTAGGATACTGGGTATATAGCTCCATTAGAGTGCTTGCTTGACATAGATGAAGCCCTGGGTTCAGTCCCTAGCACCACATAAAAGTGGACGTAGAGGGAGGAGGACCAGAAGTTCAAGGCCATTTTTGGATATATAGGGAGTCAAGGTCATTTGGGCTCAAAAAGAGAGATTTTTGTTGTACTGAATCATAACATGGTAACGTTTAAGTAATAAGTGGTGAGAAAATACATGTTACAGAAATCTGGTAGAAAAGTAGTTTAGGTAGAGGGAATTAAAGTGTAAAGGTTCTCAGGTGGGAGCATGGCTGATGTGTTTGAAGAAAAACAGAAGAGTCAGGAGGCCAGGCATGTGTGCCTCCAGTGGCAAGAACGAGGGGACAATTTGGGAAGACAGTACAGAGGTACCAAGTGTCTGGTGACAGGCCGTGTTAAGGGCTTTCTTTTTCATCCTGAGTGAGATGGGGAGTTAGTGGATAGTTTAGCAGAAGGGAGGCATCATCCAACCTATGGATTAGCTGTCCCTTTGCCTGCTGTGCTAAGTAGACTAAAGGGGCAAGAGTTGAAGAAGGGTGATTGGTTACAGCAGTGACTTTTTTAGGTACTATTACTGCTGGATTTGCAAGTCCTAGTCAATTTGTTACAGCAGTTGTTACAGCAACTTAGCAGGCTGTGATAGTTAAGTCTAGGGTGATAGCAGTAGAAATGGTAGGATTGTCATTCTGTTTACATTTTTGGAATTGCATTGGCAAACTTGGCTTACTACTTCATGAGAAGAGTCAAGGATTATTTGACCTGGGCATTGAGAAGGATAGAGTTACATTAACTGACATGAAAGGATGGGGAGAACAGGTTTGAAGGGGTCATCAGGAGCTCAGTTTTGGACATGTTTATGATGCCTACTAGAAATCTAAATGTAGATAATCAATGGGCATTCTAATGTTTATGAGTCCTTTTTTATGTTTTTTAAAAATGAAATAATATTATTAAAATATATTATGCTGAAATATATTATACTGTGTTATTATTTCCATTTTTAACATGTTCAATCCTGACAAAACTGAGATGTTTTGGCAATAAATTGACTGACTTGTATTTAGCTTTGCTGCCAGAGTTGATGGTACTTTCTTAAACAAAGTTGTCATTCCAATTTTAGAAATGGAAATATGATTATGTAGTCTGAGTATTTTTACTTGCTTTCTATTTTAGGTCCTATTACTGCTGGATTTGCAAGATTTTTAATCCTGTTTTCTTTGAATTATGATTTAAATATCAAAAATATTAAATTTTTTTAAAAAGGGAAATATTTTAGTTTTGGAAGTCAGAATGCCAAGGAAAAGGAAAAATCTTGGGGGAAATCCTTTTCGGAAGACTGCAAACTCTAAGGAAGTTATCGTGTCCAGTGTTGCTAGTCATGAGGAGCCAACTGCTACCCTTCCTTCCATGTGTGAAACAAAAATTGATCAGGAAGAACTCTTCACCAGTGTCTCAGAGATGTTTTCTGAACTGGATCCTGATGTAGTGTATTTGATGCTTTCTGAATGTGATTTCAAAGGTGAGAAAAAGTTTAGTTTGAATCCTTTGCATCTTACAAGAAGACTTCATGTGGTATGCCATGATGAGTGGTGAAACAGAAAAACGATTTTATCATTTATTAAGCATCCACCGTGGACAAGGTACTAAGTTTGGTATTACTAGGGATGTGAAAACTAAAGAATGATTTCTACTCTAAAGAAAGGTACAGTTGTAGATGTAAGATGCATGTATAGAAGTCATATTCTACTTTTTATTCTCTTCTCTCCTCTAGACAGGTGCTACTGACATTTTGGGCTGGGTAATTCTTTGTTGGGCTGGCTCTTCTGTACACTATAGAATGTTCTAGTAGCATCTCTGACCTATACTGTAGATGCCAGTTCCTTATCCCACTAGTTGTACTGATCAAAAATACTATGATATGTGTCCTTTTCTCCCTGGAGAGTGAGACTGTACTTGATTGAGAACTAGTGTTTTAGAATGTAAGCTCCACAAAGTCAGATTTGTAAAGCCATTTTACTATTCTTATTTCCAATCCCTAAAATATCTAGTGATCCTCTACTAGGATTTAAGTAGATACTTGTAAGCTGATTAAGAGTTGAGAACAGGAAGAGTAGTGTGGTTTCAAACACTGGCTTTGGAGTCAAGCAACCTGGTTTAGATCGACAGTTCTGTCACTAGCATCTTCAACTTTGTTTTCTAATTTGTTAATGAAAAATCATAGTATTTATCTTATAGGACTGTTTTCTGGTGGGAATTGAAGTTTTTTTTTGTTGTTGTTTTTTTTTAACACATGATGGAAAACAGAATCATACATTTCATTTGCACTCAAGACTAACCATAGCCAGAAGTTACAGTATGATCAAGCTAATGCTTAAACAGTTTTCATTAAAAAGTAGAGTAAGAAGCCGGGCGTGGTGGCGCATGCCTGTAGTCCTAGCACTTGGGAGGCAGAGGCAGGTGGATCTCTGTGAGTTCAAGGCCAGCCTGGTCTACATAGTGAGTTCCAGGACAGCTGGGGTTACAGGGAGACCCTGCTTCAAAAAGATGAAAAAAAAAAAAAAGAGTCATACTCTGTATTGTTTTGACTATGGTTAGTATAAGGTACAATTGTTCTAGATTAGAAGGTTTTGGTAATGTCTGGTAAACTTACATCCTCAGTCTCTGTGTGTGCTATGCTGTGTGTATCTACCCTGTCATGATACATACTCCTAAACCCAGCACTGCACTTGGTGCTCAGACGCTAGCATGTAGAGTTCTGAAAGTGACTTTAGCATTTGTTTTCTAATTGTGTTGTCTTCAGAATTTATTTGTTGAGCATACATTAACAGCATGTTATCCTATGTTCTAACAAACTTATTTCTCTTTTTCAGGATCTTCTATAAACTTCTTTATAAATGTGAGATATTATGAGTAATTTGAATGATAATGTTGATATTTTATATTCTGCTGGTTAAAACTTAATATAACAAAATTTCTTAATGCTGTTGTATATTTATCTTTATAACAAGCTTTATGTATTTATCTTTAGTGGTTTCCTACTGCTCCAGTGATCTGTTGTGTTCTAATTTATTTATTTATTTCATGAATAGTTTTTCATGAATAATTAATACTGTGAGAAAATTTTGGTGAAAGTAGCCTTTTACTTCTTTTGTCTTTTTCTAGTAGTGCCAAAACTTTATTTTCTGCATCATAGGATAAAAACACTTTTCAGTTCTTGGAAATAATACTGTTAAATTACCTACCAGTGAGGTGTGCCAGTTTTAACACCACCACAGCACTTTTAGCATTGTGAAGAATTATTTTAATAAGAATAAAATTGTGCCTTTTCTTAACTTATTTTTCTTTATTTTTAATAAAGAGGAATGATGAATATTTTTGCATAGGAGTTTTTCTCATATCTTTTAAGTTATTCATTTAATTCCTTTGGTTGTTTTCCTAGCATAGGTTTATTTTTTCTAGCAATCTGTGTAAAGACTTTGTAGGTAATTCTCTATCTTGATATTTTACTTAGTTTCACTTTATACTGCTTTTCATTATATACATGTTATTTTTAGTTGATCATTCTGGCTTTTCTATCATGTAGAGTTTTTTCCCCATAGGAATATCTTTAGGTTTATTTTCTTCCCTATACTGTTTTTTCAATGTTTAGGGCTTCTTGCCTTTGTAGTGTTGCTATGATCTCCTGATTGACCTCTCTGCCAGGCTTGCCCCTCCAATCCCTCTTTGTTTTTCTCCTTAAGGGAACATTAATTGGGTGCTTACTAAGTGCCAGTCCCTGTGCACAGCACTTTTTCATGGATTATCTCATTTAATCCCCACAACAACCTACGAGGTAGGTACTTTTATTATCCCCATATTACCAATGAGAAAGTCAAGCTTAGGAAAATTGGCTAACTTGTTCCAAGTGTAATGGCCAGCAAGTAGAGTTTTACATGCTGGTGTTCTGACTCCAGACCCTTCTGTGCTGTGCTCTTTCCATGCTTATTTTCCCTAATACAAAATAAAAAGACCTCCAAATTTCAAATGTTTAAAAATAATTTTCTTGTGGTGCCCAATAGTAAACCCAGGGCCTCAAGAACGTGTTAACTAGGCACTCTGCCACTGAGCTGCAATCCTAACTCTCAAATACTTAAAAATTCTTTCAGCTCCTTGTTTGTGCTATAACAAAAAAGCTCAGCATTGGAGTCAGATACACTAGTCCTGCCTCTGTCACTGTCTGTGATTTGGGCCCAGTTAATGTACTTTTTTGAGCTTCATTTTCTTCATCTATTTACTGGGATGATAAATCTTAGTATTAGTTGATAATTTGGTGAGATAATTTGTATAACACTTCTGCTTGTAGTTTTTTTTCAAGTTCCCTTAAATAAACAAGTTAATGTTTCTTAGTAGACCTATAGTGCTCTTCTCAATTTCATCCAGTCTTCTCCAGTGTTATCGTCTTCCTTTGTCCCTCACACATAACCCTGTATGCTCACTCTCCAACCAACTTCTCTGAATCCCTTAAACAGGTTTCATATTTTCAAACTTAGTTTAACTTTTCCCCTGTCTGGCAACTTGATTTTTAATCTTCAGGTGCCAGTTCATATATTGCTTTATGTGAAATATTTCCTTATTCTCCTGTCCGTCACTATATCATTTATACATTTTTAAAACTGTATATTATTTAATCTATATTGCATTATAATTATTCTTTAATGTAATTATCCTTAAACTCCATTAAACTACAGAATCCTTTGTACCAGCACTATGTCTTATTAATTTTTGTATAAAGTATTTCTGATATGTATTTTTTTTATATTAAGTGAAATTCATAGCATGGACCATATAAATGAATTACATATACTAGAAAATAAAATAGTTACTCCTAAAAAGGACATGGAGTAGGTAATTGTTGATTAAATCAGCTGACTGATTTATAAATAACCTTTAAATTTATAAATGACCCTTATATATTCAGTTATAGATATTTATATATTTCATCACTAAATTACTAAAAGACTGCTTGATAGTTTATTATTATTTATCTGAAAGAACACCATTGCATGGCTCTATCAGTGAAATTTTTCACCAACATATTTTGGTGTATTAAGTGTTAATTTTTAAAAGATGACGTGAACATACATTTCTCTGTCTTCCATTTATTGCAAAATGTAGGGTTTTTCTCTGGATTTTGATGAAGTTTGTGTTAGTTTTTCAAGATATGTATGTATTTTTGTTGTCACTGTTGTTGTTGTTCTTGTGCAGTTGAAAATGCCATGGATTGTCTCTTAGAATTATCTGCCACTGATGCCAAGATAGAAGACTCATCTTCACAAAGTTCTCTTGCGTGTGAGAATATGCCAAGTGGGTCAGGAAGTGGAATAATGGAGAAATGTCCTCCTGAAGAAGAGAGTGAAGATTCAAAAATGGACTCATTTTTGGATATGCAGCTAACTGAAGACTTGGATTCCTTAATACAGAATGCTTTTGAGAAATTGAATTCTTCTGATGACCAAGTCTATTCATTTTTGCCTTTGCAAGATGTTAATAATTTCAGTGACCCTACTACGTTTATGAATTCAGATTCAAATAGTATGACTCCTGTTTTTCCTGTACAAAATGTGGGTTCAAATAGTGAAAATTTTAAGAATTCTGCCTCTGCATTAAGTTCAAACCCATTAACTTCAGATTCATTTTTGAGTGAGTCTGAAAGTTTTATAAATGATACCACGTTGGCATTAGAAGGTAACTACCCAGAAGGGTCTCATCTCAGTAGTTCTTTAAATCCCCAAAATGACTCTGTTGTGGGTTGTGGCAGTATTAGCCAAACACAAAAAGATCATTTAGAATCTGAGTGTGCTAATGCTCAACTTTCTCTGACTCCTGTAGAGTTGGGTACCATTGAACCGCAGGTTCCTTCAAATCTTCCTCTGCAAAATCCAGGGCTTGATTTATCAGGTACTGATGGAGGTCAGAAATCTACTTCTGTGTCTGATGTTTTTGTACCCTCTGAAGGGTTCAATTTCAAGCCACACAAACATCCTGAACTGCCACCAAAGGGGAAGGATGTGAATTACTGCCCAGTACTTACCCCTCTTCCTTTGCTCCTTCCTCCTCCTCCACCTCCACCAATTTGGAATCCAATGATTCCTGCTTTTGACCTCTTTCAAGGAAATCATGGCTTCGTAGCTCCTGTTGTAACCACAGCTGCACACTGGAGACCTGTCAACTACACGTTTCCACCCTCTGTCATTTCTCATACTTCCCCAACAAAAGTGTGGCGAAATAGTGAGGGAGCAAGTGCTTATCAAGTGCAAGAGACTCCAGTTTCTCAGCCTGTAAGAAAGAAGACAACATCCTACGTTGGACTAGTTCTTGTTCTTCTCAGAGGGCTCCCGGGTTCAGGAAAATCTTTTTTGGCAAGGTATGGAGCTCTTTTGAAACTTTTAGAAATATAATGCATGAATCTGAACAGCTAGTGTGAATATTCAAAATACTTAACAGAGATGGTTAGAGACATCTAAAATGCTTTTTTACTAGTTTCTTGTATAGTAAATACTCTTCGCTCCACAAGTTTTTTTTTTTGTTAAACACTTGAGTTTTTTTTTTTTTAAATCTTTTTATTTTTTAAATTTATTTTTATTTTATGTGTATGAGTGCATTGCCTGCATGTGTGTAAATAAATACACTTGTGTCATGCAATGCCCACGGATGTCAGAAGAGATGTTGGATCCCCTGGAACTGGATTTACAGACAGTTGTTAGCTACTATGTGGGTGCTGGGAATTGAACCTGGCCTTCTGCAAGAGCAGTCAGTGCTCTTAATCACTGAGCCATCTCTTCAGCCCTACACTTGTGTTTTCTTTAATCATTTATTTTATGTGTATGACTATTTTGCCTGCATGTATGTAAGTGTACCATGTGCATGCAGTACCCATGGAGGCCAGAAGAGGGTGTTGGCTCCCCCTGGAACTAGTGTTATTTACAGTTCCTAGCCACCATGTGGGTTCTGGAAAGTGAACCCTACTTCTCTGCAAGAGCACCCAGTACTCTTAACCACTGAGCCATCCCTTCAGCCCTCTCCAAAAATTTTATTAAAATCTTGGAATATCTTTGCTGATGTGCATGCAGTACCCATGGAGGCCAGAAGAGGGTGTTGGCTCCCCCTGGAACTAGTGTTATTTACAGTTCCTAGCCACCATGTGGGTTCTGGAAAGTGAACCCTACTTCTCTGCAAGAGCACCCAGTACTCTTAACCACTGAGCCATCCCTTCAGCCCTCTCCAAAAATTTTATTAAAATCTTGGAATATCTTTGCTGGATAGAAGAAGAAGAAGAAGAAAAAAAAAAAAAGATAATTCAAGATATTGAGTCTGTGAAATCAACAAATAGCTTTCGGTGAAAGTGCGTTAATTTCACTGAGAAAAAGCTGAGTTCAACTTTGATTATGGAGTTTGAAAGCCATAATTGAAAAAAAACAAAAAAACAAAGCAAAAAACCCCAAAAGATCCATAACTGATTTTGAATTCAGGGAAAGTCATGAATACATGACTTCTACTGATGGCTAGACATTCAGGATTATAATGTGTTGTTAAATAGTGCCTTTAGATTTGAGGGAAGAGAACGTAGGTAGAATGAACAGTAGTAATCACAGAACTTAAGAATTTCAGTAATCAATTTTGTTGAAAAATATACCGTCAGTTATGCTGTCATGCCCATTTATGCCCACTTTGTAGTTAAGTATCTCGTTAGTGCTTTGATCTGGGCAATCAGAATCAGGCTTAGAAATAGCCCTATTATCATGGCTTCAGGCATTCCTTTAAGAATACTGTTCTAGTTTCTTCCCATAGCCCTTGGTCTTCAAATTCTAAGAGATTCACTCCTAATATATTTTATTTATCTTTCCCTCCTGAGCGAGAGAGCGAGAGAGAGAGAGAGAGAGAGAGAGAGAGAGAGAGAGAGTATAAGGGGGGAGGGGAGAGGAGAAGAGAGGAGGAGAGCGAGAGAGAGCGAGAGAGAGCGAGAGAGCGAGAGAGAGCGAGAGAGCGAGAGAGAGAGAGAGAGAGAGAAAGAGAAAGAGAGCAAGCCCAGTCTGGCCACAAATTCACTATGTAGCCAAGGATGACCATGAATTTTTGATCCTTCTTCCTCCACTTTCCAAGTGCTGGGTTTGTAGGTGTGTGCCATCACAGCTGATTTATGTGGTATTAGTATTGAAACCAGTACCTTTTACATGGTAGGCAAGTATTCTAATTGAGCTGCATTTGCAGCTTTAGTAATAGCAGTATTAAAACTATTTAATGTTACATATATTGTAGTCAGTCACAGCAATTTTATTTTGTGAATACATGAAAATGAAAGGCAGTGCTTTAAAAGGTAATAGAGTCAAGTTTGTAGAACTAGGTTTCAGGGGTCTTAGAGGTGAAGAAAGCTATAGTTTGAGATTAGGAACAAAGGTACCTGCCACAAAATAGAAACAGAAAAGATTTTTTTTTTTTTTTTTGAGATAGGGTGTCACTGTGTAGCCCTGGTTGGCCTTGAACTCACAGAGATCCAAGTGCTGGTATTAAAGATGTGCACCACCGTGCCCAGCCATGGAACGTTATTTTCGCTGGAGAGAAGTAACTGAGATAATATAGACAGAGAAGTTGAGCTTTCTCAGAGAATGGTCTGCAGCATTGAATTAGCAGGAGATTGGAAGGAAAATCAAGTGAAAACAAGGCTTTTGGGTTTATTGGAAAGGTCATAAATGGATTGCTTTTTAAAAATATATTTTAATATTTTTTGTTGTATGCATATGAATGTATTGCTTGCATGTAAATAAGTGTACCTGTGTCGTGCAGTACCTGGGGAGGTTAGAGGAGGGCGTTGAGTTCCCCTGGAACTATAGTTATGGGTGGTTGTTAGCTGCCATGTGGATGCTGAGAACCTAACCTGGGTCCTCTGCAAGAGTAGCCTCTGCTGTTAATCACTGAACCATTTCTTCAGACCCATGAATGGCTATCTTCAAACAAACAAACAAACAAAAACCAATTTAGTTGGGCATTGTGGTGCATGCCTTTAATCGCAGACTTGCAGGGGCAGAGATCAAGACCAGCCTGGTCTCCATAGCAAGTTCCATGCCAGCTGGGGCTACAGGGAGGAAAAAGAAAAAAACAACCCCTGAAAAACAAAAAACAATTTTCTTATCTTTTAAGGGTTGAGTAGAGGACTCAGAAAGAAGATAGTGAAGAAGTTGGGAAGGTTTGAGAGCAGTTCCAAAGTGCGTTTACAATTTTTGAGCAGTACCACAGTGCGTTTGTAGTTGTTTTCCAGAGAGAGAGAGAGAGAGAGAGAGAGAGAGAGAGAGAGAGAGAGAGAGCGAGCGCCAGCCCAAGGTTGACATCAGGTGTCTTCCTTGATTGTGTTCTGCCTTATTCATTGAGGTAGGGTCTCTTAATTGAACCCAGAGCTACTCTGGCTAGTCAGCTTCTAAGCACTGGAATGACAGGTGGGCTGTCAAATCCTCTGAGCATGGGTTTGGGGAGCTGAGCTCTGGTCTTCATGTTTGTATGACTAGTGGTTTGACCACACTTGCATGGCAGGCCATATCCTCAAACTGTGGTTACAATTTTTTTTTTTTAAAGATAAGATATATACGTGTTTTAAAGGAAAAAAAAGTGCCAGGTGTGGTGATGCATGCCTGTAATCTCAATACTTAAAAGGCAGAGGCAGGAGGATCAGGAGTTTAAGGTTATCCTTGGTTAGATAGTGTGTTTGGGGCTAGCTTGGGCTACATGAGACCCTGTCTCATGAAGAAAATAAAACCACATTTCTGATTAATTCATGAAGAGAAAAATAGACTTAACTCAGTTGTATGAAGAGTTGAACTTTATGGTTTAGAGAATTTCCAGTGTAATTTGTTTGAATTTTATAATCTTACTTCTTTAAATACTATTACTTAAATTTTTATTTGAATTATGACTATAAAATGAGAGAATTTTGGAAAGAAAATTAATGAAAATGATTCCCATTGTCATTCACAGGACTTTGCAAGAGGATAATCCAAGTGGCGTCATTCTTAGTACTGATGATTATTTTTATATAAATGGACAGTACCAGTTTGATATAAAGTACTTAGGAGAAGCCCATGAATGGAACCAGAATCGTGGTAAGGATGCCAGGCACTGGAACAATAATATACAGAGACAATTCACTTTAATATTTATATTTTAAGTCACATAGAGATTTAAGAATTTTATTTTTTTTATTTGTTTACTTTTTAGGGGGTACTGAGAATTTGACCCCGGGCCTCACACATGCAAGTGCTTTGCCTTAAGCTATAGCTCTAGCCCTAAAGAATTTTAAATTAGCTTTAATTCTTTAGCTATAATATATACACGCATATATAATTATAACCATGATATTTAATTCAAATTCTTATGTGGTAAGAGGTAAATGAGAATTAAAAGTTAACTTTTGGGGCTGGAGAGATGGCTCAGCTATTAAGAGCACTCACTGCTCTTGCAGAAGACCCAGGTTCAGTTCCTAGCACCTACATGGTGGCTAACAAACATCTGTAACTCCAGTTCCAGGGAGTCCAGTGCCTTCTTCTGACCTCTTCAGGCATTGCATGCATGGGTGCACTTATATGCATACAGGCAATACACTCATTCACATAAATTTTTTTTTTTTTTTTTTCCAAAAGTTAAATTTGGCGGTTGGTAGAGCGTTTGATTAGCAAGCACAAAGCCCTGGGTTTGGTCCTCAGCTCTGGAGAAAGAAAAAGAAAAAAAACAAAAAAAGTTAATTTTGGGGGTTGGGGAGATGGCTCAATTGATAAAATAATTACAACACAAGTATGAAGTCCTGAGTTATATACCTAGCAGCCAAGTGAAAGCCAGATGGGACAGTGTGTACTTATAATCTCAGTGCTGGAGACAGGAAGATCCTTGGGGCTTGCTGGTCAGTCAATTTAGACAGATCACTGAGCTCCAGGCTCAGTGAGAGACCCTTTCTCAAAAGTAAGATGGAAAGCTATTAAGGAAGATACCAGATGTTGACTTCTGGCCTTAGTGCTCGCACATGCACGCATGCACACACTCACAGAGTAATAAAAAATTGAAGTTAATTTTTGTAAGGGGCTTAGACTGTGTTTAGGTTTCATTTAATCAGTGGGGATCTTGTCAGAAGTAAATCTAATTTTCTACTAGGGTTTAATTAGCTAAAGAAAGTTAATTACTCTGGTTTCTGTTCCAGTCGTTATTTCTTTCTCTTTTCTTCCTCCCCTCTCCTTCCTTTTCTCTCTCTTCTCCCTCTCCTCCTCCCCTCCCTTCATCTCTGTCCCCCTCCCTTGCTGTAAGACAGCGTCTTGCTGGGTAGTTCAGGCTGGCCTCAAGCTCATCTTCCTTCTGCCTCACCTTCCTAGTCCCTTTTTTGGAAGTGGAACTTGTCTTGTTAAGTAGTGGTCTTCACTGGATAGGTTTAGTTTGTTTTCTTTCTTTTTTCCTTCCCTCCCCTTCCCTCTCCTCTCCCCTCCTCCCTTACCCCCCCATCACTCCCTCCCTTTTTCTGTACTGGGGTTGAACCCAGGACCTCAACATGCTAGGCAGGTGCTCTCTAGTACTGAGCTGTATCCACAGCTTTGGTTTAGTTTTTATAAGAGTAAAAATGACACTCTTCAGCTGGATGTGATGGTAGTATACCTATAATGCTAGCATTCAATGGCTGAGATAGGGAGGGCCAAACTACCTTGAGCTACATAGCAAGTTAGAGGCAGCCTGGACTATACAATGAGAACCTTTTTTTTAAAATTTATTTTTCTTTATTTTTTGTTTTTTTGAGAGAGAATCTCACCATGTAGCCCTGGCTGGCCTAGAATTCCCTATGTAGAACAGTCTGACTTTGAACTCACAGACTCCAACGGCCTCCTCCAGAGCTCTGGAATTAAAGGTGTGCATGCCCATCTGAGACCCTGTTTTAGAAAATAAAAGCAAACAAAACTCTTTTGAAATGGAATCTGCAAGGAGTTCATAGGTGAAATATTTGTCTAAATCTAGTAAGAAAAGATTGCTTTATCACTGATGTTTAATTATTTGCATGGTTTGAAGTTCTTAAGACATGAATTTTTTTTTATCAGAGCTCGATGTCAGATACTATATAGATAATATTTTAACTAGTCTTTCTTTCAGGATAAATGCACTCTGAAGGTGATTCTTGAGTTTCACATCTTCAGGCATTGTCAAATTTTAAAAAAAACTTAAAAATTATTTTCTCTCCTCTCCCTCTCCCTCCCTCCCTTCCTCTTGCTCTCTCTCAGTGCATGTGTGGAAGTCAGAGGATAACTTGTAGGAATCAGTTCTCTCCTTCCACCATTGTAGGTCCTGTGGGTTCAGCTCAGGTTGTTACCCTGGGTGGCAAGTGCCTTTATCTGCTGAGCTGTCTTTCTAGCCTCCATTGTTAAATTTTTTATATGTTGTTTTCATGAATTAAAAATTAAAGTGAGAACATAGGAAAATGAAAAATAACAGAACCACAGATAAAGGAGCAATAATGGTATGTGGTGAAGATCAACTTTGGATTTACCAATTATTAAATGTGTGACTTTGTGCAAGTTATTTAACTCTTCAAGGCCCAATTACTTTGTAAAATAGACACTTTAATTCCCTGGGTTGATTGTTGTAAATGAAAATGAGAAGTGCTTGGGCTGGAGTGATGGCTCAGTGATTTAGAGTACTGGCTGCTCTTGCAGAGGACCCAGGTTCAATTCCCAGCACCCACATGGCAGCTAACAACTGTCTGTACCTCTAGTTCCATGGGATTCAATGCTGCCTTCTGACCTCCATGGCATTGCAGGACACAGATGTACTTGCATACATGCAATCAATAAAAATAAAAAATAAAAAATATTTTTAAAATATTTTATTTATTATTTTTATTTTATGTGTATGAGTGTATTGCCTGCATGTATGTGAGTACACCCGTGTCATGCAATGCTGTGGAGGTCAGAAGAGGGCTTCAGATTCCCCTGGAACTGGAGTTAAGGATGGTTCGTAGCTGCCATGTGGGTGCTGGGAATCGAACCTGGGTCCTCTGCAAGAGCAGTTAGTGTTCTTAACCGCTGAGCCATCTCTCCAGCCCCTAAAACGAAAAGTGCTTAGTATTGGTTAGGCATGACCTCATAGCAGCAGTGGTAGGCAGAACTCTTAATAGCTTTATTGGAATATAGTTTATGGGTCATACAATTCACTCGTTTAAATTATACAGTTTATCTGGTTGTGACTGTACACCCCTGTAATTCTAGAACTTGAAAGGCTGAGGCAGGAGGATTGCTGCAAAGTTGAGGCCAATCTGTCTACATAGTGAGTACTACTTAGGCTAGCCAGGGCTATATAGCAAAAACCTTAATATAGTATACTAATATTAATAATTATATTAATTATTAATTATATATTAATATAGATAATATATAATAATCAGAATTGTACACCTATTACTATAGTCAATTTTAAAGCATTTAAATCACTTTAGAGAGATTGTGCACCCTTTAGCAGTCATTCATTTTTCCTCAGTCTATTTTCTGTCTCTATATTTGTCTTCTTTGCATTTCTTTTTTCTTTTTAAAAAACATTTTCTAAAAATAAATTTTCTTTATTATTTTTATTTTATGTGTATGAGTGTATTGCCTGCGTGTGCTTAAGTGCACTCGTGTTCTGAAATGCCTGTGGAGATCAGAAGAGGGCATCTGATTCACCTGGAGCTTGAGTTATGGTCGGTTGTTAGCCACCACGTGGTGCTGGGAATGGAACCTGGATCCTCTGCAAGAGCAGCCAGTGCTCTTAACCACCGAGCCATCCCTCTATACCCTTTTGTGTTTCTAATAAATGAAGTCATAACAGTCTTTTGTGATTGGCTACTTTCAGTGTTTATTATTTTTCTCTCCTCCTCCTCTTCCTCCTTCTTCCTATTCTTCTCCTTTCCTCTCTCCCCCCTCTTTCCCTCCTTTTCTCTCTCCTTCTCCCTCTTTCTCCTCTTTTTTCTCTCTTCTCCTTTGTCCTCCTTCCTTCCTTCCCTCCCTTTTTCCTTCTTTCCTCTTTTACCTCCTCCTCTAAACTTTTTCTTTTTCAAAATTATGTGTATGTATATGGGTATGTGCATGTGAGTACAGGTGCCCACAGTAGTCAGGTTTCAGATCCCCCAGGAGCTGGAGTTACATTACAGGCAGTTATGAGCTGCCTGTTATGGTTGTTGGGAATTAACTTGGGTCCTCTGGAAGAACAGTATGTGCTCTTAACTAACTCTGAGCCACCTCTCCAGCCCCTACTTCTTTTCCTTTTTCTTTTTAAAAATTTCTTTAAAAATTTTTAAATTTTATGTGTATGAATGTATTGCCTGCATGGGTGTAAGTGCACCTGTGTTGTGCAATGCCTATGGAAGACAGAGAGGGCTCTGGATCCCCTGGAACTGGAGTTACTGTTGGTTGTTAGCTGCCATGTGGGTGCTTGGATTTGAACCCGGGTCTTCTGTGAGAACAACCAGTGCTCTTAACTGCTGAGCTATCGCTCCAGCCCTTCCTTTTTTTTGGTAACAGCATTTGACTCTGTAGCCTAGGGTGACCTGAAATTCACTATGTAGCCAGTAAATCATTATGTAACACAAGCTGGCCTCATATTTATGGCAGTCCTCCAGCCTTAGTTCCCAAGTGCTAGGGTTATAGATGTGAGTCACCATGCCACCATGCCCAGCTATAGTGTTTTATTTATTTAAATCATGACATATTTTATGTATTTATTTTTTGTTTTAAAATTTTACTTTGAGGGACTGGAGAAATGGTTCAGTGATTAGAAGCACCAGGTACTCTTTCAGAGGATCTAGGTTCAGTTCCTAACACCCATGTGGTGGCTAACAACAATCTGTAACTCCAGTTCCCAGGGGATTCAAAACCCTCTTATGGCCTCCATGGCCATTACATGACACAGGTGCACTTAACACACATGTAGGCAAAAACAATCATATACATAAAATAAAATAAATAAAAATTTTACTTTGAGATAGTTTTTAGATTTATGGGAAAGATAGAAAGATAATGTAGAGAACTTATGTACACTTTCCATCCATTTTCCCTACTGTTAATATCTCATATATAACTATGCTACATTTGTCCAAAGTAAAAGCTTAATATTTCTGTTAACTAAATTTCAGACTTCTTATGCATTTAAATGTTTCCATTAAAGTTCTTATCTGAAGACTCTAACCCAAGATAACATGTTGCTTTAGCATATATAATTTTCTAAGATTATTTTGTACTTTTATATTTATATTTAGTATCCAGCATTTACCTGATGGCTTTGGCTTCTTAGTTTCTTACTTGTGTAGGCACAGGTGTCATGGCACAAACACAAAGGATAGAGGACAACTTTGTGGAGTAATTTCCTTCCTTCACTCTTACATGGGTTTTGGGGATTGAACTCTGGTCTCCAGGCTTATGTGGAAGCACCTTTACCTCCTGGGCCATTGTTCTGACCCTGCTTTGACATTTTATGCCCTTAAAAGTGGTATTTCATTGAGAGACATCTGGGTACACAAACTTGACCAACTAGGCATTAACATATATGACAGATTATATGAAATCCGGTAAGGGGGGATTGTCTAAATATGATTAAGATTTATTATGTGAAATGCACAAAAATTCAATAAAAAACATACATTGAGAAAAAAAACAGTGGTATTTTAGCCCGGTGTGGAGGTGCATGCTTGTAATCCTAGTACTTGAGAGATAGAGGCAGGAGGACCAGCAGTTCAAGGTCCTTCTTAGCTATATAGCAAGTTCAACGCTGACCAGAGTATATGAGATCTTGTCTTCAAAACAAAACAAAATAAAAGACAAAACAAACAAAAAACCCAGAGAACTCAGTGGGTAAGAACGCTTGCTCTTGAGGACTTGAGGGACGTGAGTTCGAATCCCCAGTACCCACTGAAAAAGTCAGGCATGGCTGTGTGTGCTTGTAGCATTGAGGGCTAGTGACAAGTGGATCCAGAGAGCTCCCAGGCCAGCCACCCTAACAACAACAAAAAATGTTCTCTGGTTGAGAGACCCTGTCTCAAGGCAATAAGGGAATGATAGAGGAAAACATTTCAAGTCTTGTTTTGGATTTCACATGTGTTGCATGGCTGTGTGCACCTGTACACCCAAATGCATCCATCACACACACATAACACACCACCAGGAACAAAGTGATATTCTGTGGTCGGATACTGAGTAAAAGTGTCACTTCTCTGATGAAAACATCAGCTATTTTTTTAAAGATTATATTTACTATTATTAAGAATGTTATTTTGTATTGTATTTTTCAGCAAAAGAAGCATTTGAGAAGAAAGTATCTCCAATAATCATTGACAATACAAACCTACAGGCATGGGAAATGAAGCCGTATGTTGCCTTGGTTAGTATCAGGTTTATAATACTGGCTTTAGAATCATCAGGGCAATATTAATTTCATAAGTGAATCTCAAGCACTTAAGAATGGCAGAGTCTTGGTTTGTCTTTAACTGAGTTTTCTCTGGTCTTCAGTGAAATGAGAAAAACAACACAACTAGAATAACTGAGTTTTCCCATAAAACTAAAGTTTTAGTTTTTGGTCTTTTTGAGACAGGATCTCCCTGTAGCCCCAGCTGTCCTGGAACTCCCTATGCAGACCAGGCTGGCCTTGAACTCACAGAGATCTACCTGCCTCTGCCTCCCGAGTGCTGGGATTAGAGGTGTGCACTACCATACCCGGCTAAATTTATTTAGTTTTAAGATTCTGATACTGAAATTTTAAACTGAGTTTTTTTTGCTTTTTTGTATCTTTTATGAAAGAGTATGAAATTATAATTTATGTATGTGTATGTATGCTGATCTGAGAATTTCAGAACTCTAACCTCACCTGTTTTCAGTTGTCTAGATTGGCCAGATTCCCTGTAATCCGGAGCCCTCCTCCCTTTACCTCACATTTATTTATTCTCTTTTGCCCACCTTTGGTAACACCTTTGGGAAGTTAGCCATTATTGTTAACCTATTACAACATCAGGTACTTTTTCTACTTTTGTGGCACCTGGCTTCTTTCAATATGTGAAGCATGGTGTGAAACATGTAGGTCATGGATCTGACTTTTTCTGTGAAGTGACAGTAAATAATTTATGTTTTGAAGGTAGTGTGCAATCTCTGTCACATATCCTCCCCTCATTCATCTTCTCCCTCCTCGTTCCCTCCCCTCCTCGCCAATCCTGTTCTTTCTCTTTCTCCTCTCTTTTTGTCCTTTAGATGTGAAAAACTATCCTTAGTTCTCAGGCTGTACCAATACTGGCTGTTGGGATGGATGCTCACCTTGAGCTATGCATATATTTTCGGAGTGTAGAACTCTTTCCCATGTGTCATTTAATCCTGAGTGTGTAGCTCTATGGTCGGTATATAGCAATTTTATTGACTAAACTTTAATATTCAAACTTCAAAACAGTACCTAGCACTTAGCAGGTAAAAGTGATTGCCTCCAAGTTTGACCATCTGAGTTATATCCCCAGAACCCACAGAGTGGAAGGAAGGAACCCACTCAAGTTGTCCTCTGACTGACCACACTGGGCATGCTTAAACCCACACATAGCATACTCACAAATAAAGAAATAAATGTATATAAAGAAACCCGGAGTGCTGAAGTCTCCCTCCCTAGAGAGAAGTACTTTTCATAGTATTTTTGAGAATCTTTCCAGACATCATCTATCAATGTACAAATATGTGAATAATCTTTTTTTTTCTCCCAAGTGAAAATTCTTTGTCATACTTTGTCATCAGTTTAAGGCACGTATATAATTTCTCTCATTTAATAAAGACTTAAAAATTGTTATTTTTTATTTTATGTTTATATCTTCATTTATTTAGATAAATCCATAATATTAGTCACTAAGTTTTTCTGTTCTCTTGCTCTTACAAATAATAGTGAGCTAAATAGCTTGCCATGCATACATATATCTATTTGCATATGTGTGTTTATCTGTTTTTGTTCTCTTTTACAGTATCAGTGACAGATTTTTGGAACTAAATCACTGGGTCAAAGAGATCATCTAAAATTGCATTTCTTTCCCATTATAGTTTATTCCAGTTTATTACTTTTGGCCCACTCAGTCTGAACCTCTAGCCTTCTAGGGTAGCCTGTGACTTTAGAGTGAGCCAGGTTTGGTCCTAGTTGATTTTCTGTTTGGTCCTAGTTGATTTTCTGTTTTTAATTTTTAACTTTTTTTGTCTTTTTTAAAAAAAGATTTATTATTATTTTTATGTGTATGCGTGTATTGCCTGCGTGTAAGTAAGTGCACCCATGTCATGCAATGTCCACAGAAGACAGAAGAAGCTGTCAGATCCCCTGGAACTGGTGTTACGGATAGTTGTTAGTTGCCATGTGGGTGTTGGGATTCGAGCCCTGGTCTTCTGCAAGAACAACCGCTGAGCCATCTCTCCAGCCCCCCCCCCCTTTTTTTTTTTTGAGACAGGGTCTCCCTGTAGCCTCAGCTGGCCTGGAACTTGCTCTGTAGACCAGGCTGGCCTTGAACTCACAGAGATCTGCCTGCCTCTGCCTCCAAGTGCTGGGATTAAAGGTGTGTGCCACCACACCTGGAGACTTTCTGTTTTTATTCCTTGTTTTTGTGTTTATGTTTTCTGATGCTTGTTGAGAAGAGAGAACAAAATAGAAGGAGGTGGGAAATGGCCTGCAAAGCCTAGTGTGCCCAGCCCCATGCCTTTCCTTTAGTGACCAGAAGCTCTGACCCAACTACTTCTGTACCACACAGAAGTTAAAATCTCCCAGGAGAGTCTGGTGTGGTCATTTGCACCTGTAATCCCGGCTGTTGGGAGGTGGAGGCAGGAGGATCAGGGGTTCAAGGTCATCCCTCCCTTCCTTCCTTCCTTCCTTCCTTCCTTCCTTCCTTCCTTCCTTCCTTCCTTCCTTCCTTCCTTCTTTCTGCATTCGGGTCTAAAAGCCTTAGTGCTCTACCTTGCCTCCCTCCCTCCCTCCCTCCCATCCATGCATGTGTTTTGCCTACATGTATATTAAGTGTTTCTTTGTCACGTAATACCTGTGGAAGTCAGATTCCCCTGGAACTGGAGTTACGTGTGGTTGTTAGCCTCCAGGTGGGCACTGAGAATCAAACCTGGTCCCTCTGCAAGAGCAGCCAGTGCTCCTAACTGCTCAGCCATCTCTCCAGCCCTGTTATCTTTTTCTATAAAAGCAAGTTCAAGGCTAGCCTGGACTATCTGAAGCCTTTTCTTCAAACAAACACTGTCCCCCATGCCCCCACCCCCATTCTCAACAATAACAAACACTCAGACTGTTGAAATCTATTTTAAAAGAACAACAGAGATTGTATACTTTATCAGGTCAAGGTGCTGATCAGATCATGTTTAAGGTTCTTTCACTTCTAACAAGGTATGAGTTTAGAAAATAATTGTGTTCAATGTAATGGTAAAATTATTAAAATTCTTTTTTGTCTTCTTTGTATGTAGTCTCAAAAGCATAAATATAAAGTCCTTTTCCGGGAACCAGACACATGGTGGAAGTTCAAACCAAAGGAACTTGCAAGGTAAAACGTGAAGGCTACCTAACATACCTTATTTCATAACAGTATTTGAATGTCTATCTAGATTTTTAATTCCCTTTATAAATGATGAATAAAACTAAACCAATCAGATTTCAGTTTGTCCACTTAGAAATTGAGAGTAAATTTTATATTGTTTATATCTTATTTCCAGTTTTTTAACAATTTATTTTTAAGATCAATTTAGTGTGTGAGTGTGTGTGTGTGCATGCATGTGTGTGCTTGGGCTTGTGTATGTATGCATGTGTGAGCACAGGTGCAAGTGTTCATAGAACTTGGGTGGAGGTCAGAGAACAACTGTGGAGTTTGTTCTCTCCTTCCCAAGGGATAGAACTCAGATCATCAGGCCTGAGAGCAGGTACCTGTACCTGCTGAGTCATCTTGTTAGCCATTATTCCCAGTTTTATGAAGAATTGGAAGGTTTATGTTTTTATAATAAATAGCCAAAAATTTTCCTCTTGTCTTACATAGTTGTGTATTTCATATGTTAATATCTGAAAGTAGAACAGACCCTAGGAGATGGTATACTTGAACCATGTGTTACTGGGAAAAACTTGTAGCTTCCTAGAATCCTGGAAAGTGGTAAGGGGATAAAGATCATAAAGGTAACAGATTCTTAGAAGTCCAGATAGTTTAGCCTACTCTAAGATTTACTTTTTTCTTTATTTGGTTGCTTATCTTGAATAAACATGTTAATACAGATAATACAATTTCTTTTCCTTTTGTCTTCTGTGTTCTTTTCGAAGATCTAATTTAATTTTAGGATAGTTCCTTCTTAATTTTAACTAATTTCAGCACTAACTAAAGGACAATCTAATTTTGGTACATTCACGATGTTGAGTGACCATCACCACTGTCAGCTTCTGAAATCTTTTCCTTCTTCACAAAACAGTTTCATAGCTGCTAGCAGTTACTCCCAGTTCCTTCCTCCCTTTGGCAGCCCTTACTATGTTTTCTGTCTCTGGATTTTTCCTGTTCTGGATTGCACATACAACGAATCTGTAGATATTTTGGCCTGGCATCTTGCATTTAGAATGTTTTCAAGGTGTGTTCATGTTGTAACAAGT